GTCAACTTATATATTGAATGATGAAATTTATTTAAAAGTAACAATGAATATGGATCAAGTAGTATCAGTTTAATTAAAGATTTTGATCATTTGAATGTCGATATTACTTAAATGACTTTAATTAATAATTGAATATTGTAACTTGTTGTTGTTATTATTATTATTGTTGTTGCGTGATTCAATTTGATTTTAGAAAACTAAAAGTTTTTATTTTGTCATGAATTATAATAAACATTTTGTAGTAATTTAAATTGTTTGTTATCAGTTAATGAAAACGATTGGGGAGTCCCACAATAGAAGCAAACGAACATTCAGTGCTTTCAGGTTTTCAATGGTTCTCTAACACCAATCGATTCATGATCTCAATTACAGATTGTTTAACCAGTTTTAAACGTTCTAATATGTGAGATGAATCAATAAATGAACCGATTAAGTGTACATTATAATTTTTTAAGATGATCACGAATATTATCGATTTGTTTCTAATTGTATTTAATGAAAGAGAAAGTATAGAGATCAAGATGTATAGATGATTAAGTTGTTGATTTAAATAGGCTCAAATAAATAATATATGATCTAATAGTTGAATTCATGAGTCATTTACAGCTAGACCACCATGAAAAACCTAAAAGCACTGGACGGTTGTGTCGTCTTAATATAGGACTCCTTAGCCGTGTGCATCCACGATCCCGCACCGTTGGGTTCAGAATCAGAACTTATCGGTCTCGCTCGCGAACGCTTAACCTCTAGACCTCTGAGTCGGTGTCTAATGGTGTTAATGTTTAACTTCAACCAGTCATGTAATCGTCAATTCATCGTTAAGTTAAACTCGTTACAGTACTGTTTTCTCTGATCCTAACCAGAGAGAAGACAAGAATTAAAGGGTTATAGTAGTATTGTATATGAATTCGTGTATTTTCAACAGGTTGAATGCTACTTGTTGTAAAGTTATATCTTCGCACATCTTGCCACTTTTATCAAGTGAAAGTCAGTCATAATATCATTAGAAAATCCAATTCTTTCTTTTTTAAATAATTCTCTAGATCTGTCTTATAATTAGATTCATCAACTTTACAGTTTGCTATAAAAGTGGACTTTTTCAAATAGTTTAACATGATGAAGTAAACAAACTGAATCACATGTAATCTAATATTATAAGATACTGAACCACTGATGGGTAAACGGATTTCTCTAAACCGTAAATTTGTAGTGAACGAAAACGCATTGACTTTGTTAAGTATGAAAATCATACATTAATTGCATCATTTGCATAGCTTCCTTCAGTTGTCCTTTATATACTCCGTTATTATTCTAGTTCTGTTATTATTCTGATTGCTCTCCGTTTTCCTTCCCTTTCTTTTTATTTCAATCTTCTTCTGGTGAGTATTTCATTTCATTTTCCTACTAAATACTACTTATGTCTATCCATATCAGTAGCAAACTACATAAATTGATCATCTGTTTCCAAATCGTTAGCTATTACATTCAAAGACTAATTGGAAAGTTTTATTAATAAGAAGACCATGTTTAAATGCATTTAATTTTTGTCATACGTATTCATATCATAAACACCATAACTAATCGCTAATATCTATGAGTCGATGAAAATAGAAGAAAATGACTGATAACTCATAATACTCAATATTGTTTAAACCAAAAAAACTTAATATCATTATCGTTGTCATGTTCAATGGTACTTTGAAAGATTGATTGTTTATTCAAAAAAAACTTTTTTTCTAAAACAATATCACTCATTATAAGTAAAGACATATAGTGGCTAGCAATGAAAACCAGGACGCCCTTTTCGTCCTATTTAGGACTTATCAACTAGATATATCTTCATCTCAGAGTTGATGCTCACTCAGGGATTCGAACCCAGTGTGGTGTGTGCTACTTATATTGACATTGGTAGTATATGATGTTAGTCGTGAACAGAAGGTGTGGCAGCAGAGAGACAAGAGAATCGAACAGTAAAGAATTGAAACAGAATGCAATTTATATGAAAATGCAAGAACAATGAAGTCTGATTCATTTTGAAACAATTGATGGACAGTTTGCAAATTAAGCATTCACTTTAAAATTGTTAAATTTTATTATTATTTTGTGTTAAATACATTCGATTGTCCCCACTGGTGTTCTTGTTCCCTACATCAGTATCATTGAGCTTAAAACATCATCGTACTATCTACTTAGCTACTAAGTCCAGATAACCACTTACTTGTACATTCATTCACTGTACAACTAATCAATTTATACAACTGATATCTTATTTATGCATGAAAGTAGGATATTCAACACGGATTTTTATTTATAATATTCATAAGAAAATCTTAAGTTTTATTTTTATTTTGTTTTAATTGACAGAATATAATTTAGTTTGTTTACATATATACAGTTTTTTTCTTTTTATCAGTGTATATTACTCAAATGGTTATGTTCACTATTCAAAGTCATAATAAATGAGTAGTATACTTATTTTGGCATACCAGCTTATTATATTATACTTTCTCTATATACAAAATAAATTGACATAAAGAAATGAAAATTAAAAAAAAATAAATTTGTTTTGAGTCTATTAAATAGTTAAGAAAAATTAAAATATGTCGATTAAATCTATATAGGCATAAAAAAATCTAGTATTTATACTACTGAAAATACTGAATTGAAGAAAGTATGAATGATTCATGAACACATTAACAATTCTTTATAATTTAGTGAGTTATTATTAATATAAATGTCAATGATGGATTATTTAATAAATTAGACCATCATTGAAAACCTAGAAGCATTGAATGTCTGTTTTGTTCTATTGTGGGACTCTTCTCAGCGATGAGTATACACAATTGGACGAAATGACTATTCAGTACTTCGAGATTTTTAATGATGGTCTAACTTCAATCGATTCATGATCTCAATGAAACACCTAATAATCTTCACAACTGATATTTAATATATTTTGAAATTTGTAATTCATTAGTAATGTTATCCAATTTTTTGTTTTTTGATACTACTAGATTAATGATTGTAATAAGGACAATATCAGTAATTTGGTTTTAATATTAATATAAATACAGATATATTCAGTGGTTATATTTGCTTTTATAAGTGACAGTTATTATAGAGATTAGAAAAGAGAAGAATTTCACTTTACAAAAGTTGTTTTACATCATTGTTGTAGAGTCTACATAATCATGAGTACTTTAGTATGAGTACATTATTCATTGAATTGAAGATGATTACTGTGGATTTGCTTCTTTATTTTAACTTATCTTGTTGATGTTAAGCTTTAAAATGACTATCTACTATATGAGTGATCAAATCGAATTTACTTTAATTTTTTGTTTAAGTTACATCTCATCGTATTCTGAGAATGAAAGCTAAACTTTTTAATTAACTATGTACAATCAATGAAATTGATACATTGAACTATTAAGTTATTTAGATAGAAAGGCATTCAGTAAAGTCACATTGTGCTGTAGGTTGCCAATTTTCTGTTACGTAATATTTTAGCGTTAGGTTATCATGAGTCAAACGTTAACAGATGATCTAAGTTATATCAAAACACCTCATTATAAAAACTAGATATATAAAGACAGAATATTACCCTTTTTTATTATAGTAAACAGCAGTTATACAGTCAGCTTTTCAAATACCTAAGGATAATGAATTGCCAGTCATATTTCTAGAAGATGTCTGATCTTGACTCTTGTAAGTATAGTCAACACACAAATAGTGAAGAAGTACCGAAGATTAATATTTGACATGGGTGACGACTGATTTTATCAACCAAATCATAGTTTAAAATATGAATTTCACAACACAGTTATTGCTGAATTATATAAGATTAAAGAAACAATCAGTAATCGAGAATAATGTTTTAGAATGTTCTGAAGGCCTAACACATATATTCGTATCATGAATAGCATAATGAATTAACAATATCTAACTGTGAACAGATGGAAAGTCAAGAAGAGAGTCAGTGACTCGTAGCACTCCATAAAGTTCAAATTTAAAATCATTATCCTCACTATTACGATATATTTTAATTCGAATGATTGATTTCTTAGTTAATTTGTTCATTTTTTTTTAATTAACTGTGCCAATAATTATCTGTCAACATTCCTTATTAAGAGACTATATTATCAAAATAATGATACTTTACAGTGATAATAGATTTCCTTGAGATGCTAAACATATCTTATAATAATAGGTATCAATCAATATAAAATTGAGGTGAAATCTCATTCAAATTATTTCTAAAACTATTTTATCAAATCTTTGTGTTATATACATTTATTTACTAATGTATACTTCAAAACCACTGAGCCAGTATCCGACGGTGTTAATGTTTAAATTTAACTAATCCACGAAATTGAGCAATACATCAATCATTGTCTTCAGTGAGTTACTATCTCACAACAGATCGGGTTCGGTACCGGCTCAGTGATCTAGAAGTTAAGCGCTCGTGCGCGAGACAGATATGTCCTGGGTTCGAACCTCGCTAGGAGTGATCGTGGATACGCGCTGCTAAGGAGTCACGTACAAGAGCGAAACGGCCGTCCAGTGCTTCCAGGTTTTCCATAGTGGTCTAGCCTTAATTGGCTCATGATCTCCACTATTAAATTTACTATAATATCCACAAAAATCCTATTCTGATACTGTATACTTGTTATATACAATTACTTACTTACTCACTTACGCCTTTGAACGCCAGTGGAACATAGGCCGCCGACCAGTATTCTCTAACCCATTATGTCTCGAGCCTTTTTTTTCTAGTTCATGTAACACATGATAAACCTAGAGAGACTCAAATGAAATAGTATTATTTAACTGTTGTAAAATTTAACTTATTATGACTGAATTATAAAGTAGTTCTTTCAATAGATTTATTACTTTTCAGAAAAAGAAATAAACAACTTTTTCTTCAGTTTATCACTTAAATTTATATCAAACATTAAAAAGAGATGATTTATCATTTACTGATTTTAAAATGGGCATGTATGATCATAGTGAACTCTCTTCCAATGGATTTAATGGATACAGGTATGTAATTAGAATTCACATAAATTAATATATTGTTCATATAACTGATGATAAAATCTAATAATTGTCTAATATTAATAATGTTCATCAAGCAAAGATGGATAGTGGCTAGCATTGGATTCCAGGACGCGCATTTCTTCCTATTTGGAACTCGTCAGCTGGATGTACATGCATCTCAGAGTTGATGCACAAGCAAGTGGCCATCTAGACTCGGTAGCTAAGTGGATAACGAGATGGTGTTTGAATCGGATGGTACTGGGTTCGAGTCCCAGAGTGAACATCAACTCTGAGATGCAGACATGTCGAGCTGACGAGTCCCAAATAAAATAAAACGCGCTTCGTGGATTCAACTACTAACCACTATCCGTCTTTGCTTATAAAATTTGTGGCTTAATATTATATTGAGGCGATCCTCATAGGATTCCTATATGCCAACAAGGGACTGATCAATTGCAGTTCTAAATAACAATGGGAAGATACAAGTAAAAAACAACACCAAGTGAATAATGTTACTTGTTTAATATTTCATTGAATAGATAATTGTGTTTTTAACTTTTCGTGAGTTCAGTATAAGTAGTATCTTCATAGAATTCATAAATAATCGAATTGAATTAATGTAAATTCATTTTTTTCAAACAACAATCCATTCAATATTCAATTTATTTGAAATGATCAAATCAGAGATTGTTAATGATAATAATTATTATTGGTGTCTATAATGAATAAATAAACTAAAGAATAATAATAGTTATAAGGAAGAATAACTAAGATGTAATCTGGTAGTATTCTTAATTATTATTATGAATAAATACCTATATAATCTATCAAATCAGATTATTGTAAACTGATTAACAAATGTTTTATAGTCATTTCAATAGTTGAGATCATGAGTCGACTGAAGCTAGATCATAATGGAAAACTTGGAAACACTGAACGGCCTTTTCCTTTTATTGTGGGACTCATCAGCAATGCACATCCACGATTCTGCTTCTCAAGATTCATGTGAATAATTTTTTTAGCATTTGCAGTAATGAATTTGGACTAATAATCATACTGATATATTAACAATATTTGTGAAAGTATAAGCATAAGGAAAAAACATTATACGGAGTAGTATTGTTAAAACCCAGTAGTCAATGTATTGATAAATTGAATATGAATTGATATGAATTAGAAATATATAGGATCACGGAGGACCAGTAGGCAATGTAATAATGATAGGAATAAAAACGAAAAAAAAGAAGGAATTGGAATTGAATTTCACTGTCAGTTGAATTGAATTAGTATTAGCCTGATCTGCTCTGGTATGAATTGAATAGAACTTAAACACACTGAACTGCACTGAATATATATTAATTTTGGATAATAAAATTATGGGCAACAAATAAATCTAGTTAAAGGAATTAATGCGTGATAATCCACCTGGAGCCATTTTCAGGTTACTTTAAGTCTCAGGATAGAATTAACATGGACAGTTGGGCATCGGGTTAGGAAGCTCATTCCGTAGAAAAAAATCTTGATGAATAAATACCCACCAATCTTAAGTATCTGAAATCTTCCAGGTTTCCAACGGTGGTCTAACATCAATTGATTCATGATCTCAACCAAAAAACTTAACAATCTCCACAACCCCCATACTGATAATCTTCCCTACGAGTTGAAAGGTCTTCATTTAGAAGATTATGATGGAACATAATGAAAGCCAAGATTCTTTGGAAATCATAAAGTCAATGCTCATACCGCTAAACAAAGCAACAATTATTGTAGGTGCAATCGAATGTCTGAACAATGTGACAGACCTGGAAATCCATTCAAATGGCTATGGAAATGGGAAGATATAACTTTGGAATAGATGAAACTCATTAGACGCATGCTAGACAAAAAGATTTAACTTCAGGAGAGGTTTTTTGGTATTATGATCACGAAAAAGATAACTCTTGACACACACCTGGAGTTGCACTGATGCTCTCCAAAGAAGTGCTAATAGCGCAACAAGTTTTAAATGTTTCAGGATCTATTAAAAGAGGAGCAAATCACTATGATAAGCAATTGGACAGAGATTACAGAAACGATAATTTTAAAATTCTGAAAGATTCTGAACCCTAAAAACACCATCATAAAGAATGGAGTCCTGTGGGAAGTTTGGGCAGGATTCTAGAAAGGAAACACAAGATAGTAATCACTAACAGACAAACATAAGCAGAGAAAGTCGAAGCATAGACTGAATGTACCGAAGCAAACAAGTGAGGTCAAAAGAGCATTTGAGCTGACAAGGGGAAATATGTAGAACACTTGACAACAACACAAGAAAGAGTTACAAGTGAGAGAAATACGGGAGAACTATGTGAAGCAACCAACAAGTTAGAAGGGAAATATAGTAAACCAGAGCGACCAGTCAAGGACAAAGAAAGCAAGACAATCACTGAGATTAAAGAACGGAGAAACAGGTGGGTAGTTTACTTTGGAGAACTCTTGAACAGACCAGCTCTATTTAAACCATCGGATATCAAGACCTCTACATCTCAGAAGAAGCATAACATACAATGGGCACGTTGGATACAGTTCGACGATTTTAATTTCACAGATGATCTAATCTTTCTATTCTATAAACAGCAACCAATGCAGACAAAGCCAGACAAAGTAGTAGACGCCTCTTCACCTGTATGTCTCATGATTCATAAGGAAAACAGAAAGATCAAGAAATACTATGATCTGAGCAGCCAATATACAGAACCTGATGACAAAGATCTAGAACACATAGAAGCTTCTAAGTATCCAGTAGTATCACAACGAAACAAGAATGACCAGATGCGAATATAAGATATGGATTGGGGAATCAAGGGTAACATTCCTGCAATTAAAGTACAACTGTAACTTGAAACATCTGTCAGCCAACACCGAAGTCAGGATTTTCAGTATAAACGGTAAGACAGTTCAATTGCATGGAGCTGAAACTTGGAGTACTACTTCAGCCATCACTAAAAATGCACAGGCATTTATAAACCTCTGTCTCCTCAACATACTACAGATCCATTTCCAAGATGCCATTATCAATAGCCTACTGTGGCAGAGAATAAAACCACTTTAAGATGAGGAGGAAGTCAGGAAAAGACTCTGGAGGCCAATAACCCACACTTTACGGAAATAATTTAATCGCATCTCAAAGTAAGACTTAATTTTGAATCCTCATAGTTGAAGGAAAAGAGGCAGACTAAAGTCAAATAGCATAGAGAATTGGAAACTGACATTAAAATAATGAATAATACTTGGAAACAGCTGAAGAATAGGATCCAGGATAGAGTTAATTAGAAATTTCTGATCAGCGACCTATGCCATATGAGAGGTGAAGGGAGCAAGTAAATAATCAAGGATTGTGATACATTAGTTATGCATTTCACATAAACAATCATACAAAAAAAGGGGTTGAAAAAGATCAAGTGGATGACCAGTAAAATTAAAATAACATGTCTTTTTTTCACATCGTAGTCTGATCTTATAATCAGTTCAATTGAGTTTGAGTTTGCATGAACTTGTTATATCATATAATGATCACACTTGATCAATATAACTTGTAGTGCAAACCATTTAGATTCAAGTGTTACTTCCATACCGAAACAAACAAATTTCAATCGACGTAATAACTGTAATCGAAAGGAAAAAAAGATTGTTATCAGAAAGGGGTTTGTGGATAATGTGGTGATTTTGATAGTTGAGCTCATGAGTCAAATGAAGCTAAACGACCATGGTAAACCTGGAAGCACCGGATGGCCGTTTTGTCCTAGTTCGGGAGTCGGCAGTGCGCACCCACGATCTCGCCCCGCGGGGTTCGAACTCAGGATCTATCGGTCTGTTATCATATTATTTCTTGTAAATTTTATTTGAGGTAAGAAACTAAAAATTATAATTGATATATTGATTAATGGACTGTAAATCAGTAATTAAAAAGTACTGTATTAACCTTGGAATCTAGCGGCTTTGAGTTCGACTACTAAGTTAAGCTAAAAAACAAAAGAATGGTAATACGTAAGTAATAAGTGGTAAAACTTCTTATGTTGGGAAATAAAAATCCGTTAACATAATAAATCATCTCGTCATGAAAAAACTGTACATCATAATTTTAAAAGAACAGAAAATACAATCAAATAGAAGATGGATAACATAGGACAACTTAAATGAAATTAATACCAAAATGAATAGCTGTACAGATATTAAATTCACTCGGTATTGTTTCGCTTGTTTATGACTGCAATTGATCACTCTGTTATTGGCATATTCATACTGTGCGTATTGCCTCGATATTGACAGAAGTCTCAGGCTTTATGAGCAAAGATGGATAGTGGCTAGTGGTGGAATCCAGGACTCGCGTTTCGTCCTATTTGGGACTAGTCAGCTGGATGTACCTGCATCTCAGAGTTGATGTCCACCCCAGGACTCGAACCTAGTACCGTAGGCTTCAAACGCCATAGCGTTATCCATATTTGCTTGTAAAAATATTAATAAATGTAGTATTATATATTTTTCTCCAATTAAGGTACCGACATTATACCCAATATTAATAACGGTGAATTAAAATATAATGAAGAATTACTTACAGTTACTCAGGAGACGAAAAATATTAAAATAAAAGAAGAGTTTAATGAAGAGGATAATGAAAATAAGGATTTACAGAGAAATAGCGAAAGCTACGAAATTGTACAAAAGTTGACAGAAGCTGAAAAGGAGAGGAATAGAGTAGCTTCTGAACAACTCAAAATAAGTAAAAACAAACCAGGAAAACCAGATGTAAAGGAAATGAAGAAAAGGTCACAGACGAAGGTAGCACAGAACCGACTGATGAACAAACATGGAATTAAGGAAGGCATACAAGAAAACAAAAAAACAGAAGAAGAGAAAGAGGAAAACAACGACAAAAAACACGGCAACAAGAAACTCGAGCAAGGGAAAACAAAAACAAAACAACCCAGCAAGAAAAAAGAAAAAGAAAACAAGCGAGAGAAGAGGGAGAAAACAACGAATCAAATAAAAAGCACAAATGTGCAACAAAAAAGTAAAAACGAAATAGACAAAACAAAAAATAAAATAAAAAACGAAATGAAAAGAAAAGAGCAAGAAAAAACAACCGAAGAAAACGGTGAAGACAAGGAATTTAAACAAAATACAAATCAAGGGCAGAGCGTAAAAAATAGAGCGAAAAATGAGGAAATACAAGAGAACAACAAAGAAAACAGAAATACTGATACGACTACGAAAGAAAACGAAGAGACTAAAGTAAATGCGTCACAATCCAATCATAAAAGCCAAGAACAGTTATATGGACAAAGTGAAATTATTGACGACGTGAAGGCAGAAAGGTGCTGGAGCGTGGAAATTAAAAAGACAAGTATAACGAGGGAGGAAAAACCACGTGAAGGCGAGAGAGTGTCGGTCGCAGTGAACAAGGACGGTGAGACTGTGACACAGATAGTTGGTGAGGACAAGATGGTATCAGTTAGTGAGCAAGTGTTTGTGGACAACGAACTACAGGGTGCATCACGAGCACCCGATGTACGTTGGGAGTTAAAAATCGAAGCGACGCCTGAGCCAATCGACCAGACCAGCTTGGATGTGGAAACCAACACGGTTCCGATGCCGTCATTGACTGAGGACAGACTGCAGCCGGGTTCTGTGTCGGATGCTGTACAGTCAGTGGGCCCACATGAGGAGACAGGTTCACACGGAAACAACTCTGTCGGTCCGGATGACAACAAGGATGGTGAGGAAAATGTGTCACAATCCGGTCGAACGAGTCATGTAGATTTTGGTGGACACAACACTGTTAGTGACAGTGGAGATGTGGATGAGCGTCGGAGTGTGGATAATAATGTGACGAGTGTGACGAAGGAGGAGAAACCACGTGAAGGCGAGAGAGTGTCGGTCGCAGTGAACAAGGACGGTGAGACTGTGACACAGATAGTTGGTGAGGACAAGATGGTATCAGTTAGTGAGCAAGTGTTTGTGGACAACGAACTACAGGGTGCATCACGAGCACCCGATGTACGTTGGGAGTTAAAAATCGAAGCGACGCCTGAGCCAATCGACCAGACCAGCTTGGATGTGGAAACCCACACGGTTCGGATGCCGTCATTGACTGAAGACAGACTGCAGCCGGGTTCTGTGTCGGATGCTGTACAGTCAGTGGGCCCACATGAGGAGACAGGTTCACACGGAAACAACTCTGTCGGTCCGGATGACAACAAGGATGGTGAGGAAAATGTGTCACAATCCGGTCGAACGAGTCATGTAGATTTTGGTGGACACAACACTGTTAGTGACAGTGGAGATGTGGATGAGCGTCGGAGTGTGGATAATAATGTGACGAGTGTGACGAAGGAGGAGAAACCACGTGAAGGCGAGAGAGTGTCGGTCGCAGTGAACAAGGACGGTGAGACTGTGACACAGATAGTTGGTGAGGACAAGATGGTATCAGTTAGTGAGCAAGTGTTTGTGGACAACGAACTACAGGGTGCATCACGAGCACCCGATGTACGTTGGGAGTTAAAAATCGAAGCGACGCCTGAGCCAATCGACCAGACCAGCTTGGATGTGGAAACCCACACGGTTCGGATGCCGTCATTGACTGAAGACAGACTGCAGCCGGGTTCTGTGTCGGATGCTGTACAGTCAGTGGGCCCACATGAGGAGACAGGTTCACACGGAAACAACTCTGTCAGTCCGGATGACAACAAGGATGGTGAGGAAAATGTGTCACAATCCGGTCGAACGAGTCATGTAGATTTTGGTGGACACAACACTGTTAGTGACAGTGGAGATGTGGATGAGCGTCGGAGTGTGGATAATAATGTGACGAGTGTGACGAAGGAGGAGAAACCACGTGAAGGCGAGAGAGTGTCGGTCGCAGTGAACAAGGACGGTGAGACTGTGACACAGATAGTTGGTGAGGACAAGATGGTATCAGTTAGTGAGCAAGTGTTTGTGGACAACGAACTACAGGGTGCATCACGAGCACCCGATGTACGTTGGGAGTTAAAAATTGAAGCGACGCCTGAGCCAATCGACCAGACCAGCTTGGATGTGGAAACCCACACGGTTCGGATGCCGTCATTGACTGAAGACAGACTGCAGCCGGGTTCTGTGTCGGATGCTGTACAGTCAGTGGGCCCACATGAGGAGACAGGTTCACACGGAAACAACTCTGTCGGTCCGGATGACAACAAGGATGGTGAGGAAAATGTGTCACAATCCGGTCGAACGAGTCATGTAGATTTTGGTGGACACAACACTGTTAGTGACAGTGGAGATGTGGATGAGCGTCGGAGTGTGGATAATAATGTGACGAGTGTGACGAAGGAGGAGAAACCACGTGAAGGCGAGAGAGTGTCGGTCGCAGTGAACAAGGACGGTGAGACTGTGACACAGATAGTTGGTGAGGACAAGATGGTATCAGTTAGTGAGCAAGTGTTTGTGGACAACGAACTACAGGGTGCATCACGAGCACCCGATGTACGTTGGGAGTTAAAAATCGAAGCGACGCCTGAGCCAATCGACCAGACCAGCTTGGATGTGGAAACCCACACGGTTCGGATGCCGTCATTGACTGAAGACAGACTGCAGCCGGGTTCTGTGTCGGACGCTGTACAGTCAGTGGGCCCACATGAGGAGACAGGTTCACACGGAAACAACTCTGTCGGTCCGGATGACAACAAGGATGGTGAGGAAAATGTGTCACAATCCGGTCGAACGAGTCATGTAGATTTTGGTGGACACAACACTGTTAGTGACAGTGGAGATGTGGATGAGCGTCGGAGTGTGGATAATAATGTGACGAGTGTGACGAAGGAGGAGAAACCACGTGAAGGCGAGAGAGTGTCGGTCGCAGTGAACAAGGACGGTGAGACTGTGACACAGATAGTTGGTGAGGACAAGATGGTATCAGTTAGTGAGCAAGTGTTTGTGGACAACGAACTACAGGGTGCATCACGAGCACCCGATGTACGTTGGGAGTTAAAAATCGAAGCGACGCCTGAGCCAATCGACCAGACCAGCTTGGATGTGGAAACCCACACGGTTCGGATGCCGTCATTGACTGAAGACAGACTGCAGCCGGGTTCTGTGTCGGACGCTGTACAGTCAGTGGGCCCACATGAGGAGACAGGTTCACACGGAAACAACTCTGTCGGTCCGGATGACAACAAGGATGGTGAGGAAAATGTGTCACAATCCGGTCGAACGAGTCATGTAGATTTTGGTGGACACAACACTGTTAGTGACAGTGGAGATGTGGATGAGCGTCGGAGTGTGGATAATAATGTGACGAGTGTGACGAAGGAGGAGAAACCACGTGAAGGCGAGAGAGTGTCGGTCGCAGTGAACAAGGACGGTGAGACTGTGACACAGATAGTTGGTGAGGACAAGATGGTATCAGTTAGTGAGCAAGTGTTTGTGGACAACGAACTACAGGGTGCATCACGAGCACCCGATGTACGTTGGGAGTTAAAAATCGAAGCGACGCCTGAGCCAATCGACCAGACCAGCTTGGATGTGGAAACCAACACGGTTCCGATGCCGTCATTGACTGAGGACAGACTGCAGCCGGGTTCTGTGTCGGATGCTGTACAGTCAGTGGGCCCACATGAGGAGACAGGTTCACACGGAAACAACTCTGTCGGTCCGGATGACAACAAGGATGGTGAGGAAAATGTGTCACAATCCGGTCGAACGAGTCATGTAGATTTTGGTGGACACAACACTGTTAGTGACAGTGGAGATGTGGATGAGCGTCGGAGTGTGGATAATAATGTGACGAGTGTGACGAAGGAGGAGAAACCACGTGAAGGCGAGAGAGTGTCGGTCGCAGTGAACAAGGACGGTGAGACTGTGACACAGATAGTTGGTGAGGACAAGATGGTATCAGTTAGTGAGCAAGTGTTTGTGGACAACGAACTACAGGGTGCATCACGAGCACCCGATGTACGTTGGGAGTTAAAAATCGAAGCGACGCCTGAGCCAATCGACCAGACCAGCTTGGATGTGGAAACCCACACGGTTCGGATGCCGTCATTGACTGAAGACAGACTGCAGCCGGGTTCTGTGTCGGATGCTGTACAGTCAGTGGGCCCACATGAGGAGACAGGTTCACACGGAAACAACTCTGTCGGTCCGGATGACAACAAGGATGGTGAGGAAAATATGTCACAATCCGGTCGAACGAGTCATGTAGATTTTGGTGGACACAACACTGTTAGTGACAGTGGAGATGTGGATGAGCGTCGGAGTGTGGATAATAATGTGACGAGTGTGACGAAGGAGGAGAAACCACGTGAAGGCGAGAGAGTGTCGGTCGCAGTGAACAAGGACGGTGATACTGTGACACAGATAGTTGGTGAGGACAAGATGGTATCAGTTAGTGAGCAAGTGTTTGTGGACAACGAACTACAGGGTGCATCACGAGCACCCGATGTACGTTGGGAGTTAAAAATTGAAGCGACGCCTGAGCCAATCGACCAGACCAGCTTGGATGTGGAAACCCACACGGTTCGGATGCCGTCATTGACTGAAGACAGACTGCAGCCGGGTTCTGTGTCGGATGCTGTACAGTCAGTGGGCCCACATGAGGAGACAGGTTCACACGGAAACAACTCTGTCGGTCCGGATGACAACAAGGATGGTGAGGAAAATGTGTCACAATCCGGTCGAACGAGTCATGTAGATTTTGGTGGACACAACACTGTTAGTGACAGTGGAGATGTGGATGAGCGTCGGAGTGTGGATAATAATGTGACGAGTGTGACGAAGGAGGAGAAACCACGTGAAGGCGAGAGAGTGTCGGTCGCAGTGAACAAGGACGGTGAGACTGTGACACAGATAGTTGGTGAGGACAAGATGGTATCAGTTAGTGAGCAAGTGTTTGTGGACAACGAACTACAGGGTGCATCACGAGCACCCGATGTACGTTGGGAGTTAAAAATCGAAGCGACGCCTGAGCCAATCGACCAGACCAGCTTGGATGTGGAAACCCACACGGTTCCGATGCCGTCATTGACTGAAGACAGACTGCAGCCGGGTTCTGTGTCGGATGCTGTACAGTCAGTGGGCCCACATGAGGAGACAGGTTCACACGGAAACAACTCTGTCGGTCCGGATGACAACAAGGATGGTGAGGAAAATATGTCACAATCCGGTCGAACGAGTCATGTAGATTTTGGTGGACACAACACTGTTAGTGACAGTGGAGATGTGGATGAGCGTCGGAGTGTGGATAATAATGTGACGAGTGTGACGAAGGAGGAGAAACCACGTGAAGGCGAGAGAGTGTCGGTCGCAGTGAACAAGGACGGTGAGACTGTGACACAGATAGTTGGTGAGGACAAGATGGTATCAGTTAGTGAGCAAGTGTTTGTGGACAACGAACTACAGGGTGCATCACGAGCACCCGATGTACGTTGGGAGTTAAAAATTGAAGCGACGCCTGAGCCAATCGACCAGACCAGCTTGGATGTGGAAACCCACACGGTTCGGATGCCGTCATTGACTGAAGACAGACTGCAGCCGGGTTCTGTGTCGGATGCTGTACAGTCAGTGGGCCCACATGAGGAGACAGGTTCACACGGAAACAACTCTGTCGGTCCGGATGACAACAAGGATGGTGAGGAAAATGTGTCACAATCCGGTCGAACGAGTCATGTAGATTTTGGTGGACACAACACTGTTAGTGACAGTGGAGATGTGGATGAGCGTCGGAGTGTGGATAATAATGTGACGAGTGTGACGAAGGAGGAGAAACCACGTGAAGGCGAGAGAGTGTCGGTCGCAGTGAACAAGGACGGTGAGACTGTGACACAGATAGTTGGTGAGGACAAGATGGTATCAGTTAGTGAGCAAGTGTTTGTGGACAACGAACTACAGGGTGCATCACGAGCACCCGATGTACGTTGGGAGTTAAAAATCGAAGCGACGCCTGAGCCAATCGACCAGACCAGCTTGGATGTGGAAACCCACACGGTTCCGATGCCGTCATTGACTGAAGACAGACTGCAGCCGGGTTCTGTGTCGGACGCTGTACAGTCAGTGGGCCCACATGAGGAGACAGGTTCACACGGAAACAACTCTGTCGGTCCGGATGACAACAAGGATGGTGAGGAAAATGTGTCACAATCCGGTCGAACGAGTCATGTAGATTTTGGTGGACACAACACTGTTAGTGACAGTGGAGATGTGGATGAGCGTCGGAGTGTGGATAATAATGTGACGAGTGTGACGAAGGAGGAGAAACCACGTGAAGGCGAGAGAGTGTCGGTCGCAGTGAACAAGGACGGTGAGACTGTGACACAGATAGTTGGTGAGGACAAGATGGTATCAGTTAGTGAGCAAGTGTTTGTGGACAACGAACTACAGGGTGCATCACGAGCACCCGATGTACGTTGGGAGTTAAAAATCGAAGCGACGCCTGAGCCAATCGACCAGACCAGCTTGGATGTGGAAACCCACACGGTTCGGATGCCGTCATTGACTGAAGACAGACTGCAGCCGGGTTCTGTGTCGGATGCTGTACAGTCAGTGGGCCCACATGAGGAGACAGGTTCACACGGAAACAACTCTGTCGGTCCGGATGACAACAAGGATGGTGAGGAAAATGTGTCACAATCCAATCGAACCGATATTAATATTTTGGAGGGACATATCTCGGGTTTTCTTACTAATGATATAAATGATGGATTATGTTTCATTATTTTCAATCCCGTATGTTTTTGTAGTGGTGTTGGTGTTCGGTGTTCTTCTGATTGATTTTTTGTACGTATTTATTTTTATCTTTCTTATCTCGAATGGTTTTCATATTTCCTGTATCATTATATTTGTTTCTATTAGTATATTATTTTCATTGTTTTTGGTGGTTTGTGATTCATTTTTTCTAGTTTTATAGACGTTTATTTTTGTTGTTTTTATGCGTATTCTATCTCTGTAATTTAAATTTCGTCATAATTATTGTGGTAATATATTTTCTGTGTTCTGGTACACTTATAAATGTACATTTACTGAATGTGGAATAGAACTGTTACTGTGTAATTATATTAGTTGTTTTTTTTTATATACAACCCTATAAGTAGCAGCTAAGTACTTATTCAGTCAACCGCTGCAAATACAAAATTATATAACTTGAATGTGGAGTTCGTTTACTATTTTTCATACTGATCTCCTACCTCCGACTAATTAGATGAAATAGCTTTTCGATGCTTCCAGGTTTTCAATGATCATTAGAGATGTTGTTAATTTTACATGCTGTTTAGTTTTTAGGAATGAAACTATTCACCACTAACTAAAGGGTTAAATAAATCCAAGTGAATTGTTCATAAACATATTTTACATTATCGACGTTTTCATATCACTGTCAACAACTATTTATGCTACAGAGAAAGCTGAGTAAAGCTGATCAATTCATAATACACAAACTTAATATTCAACTAAGTTGTATCACCAATTTGAATGATTATACTACTTATACAATGATATGATTAAGTAGTATGAAATTTAAATAGAAATTTAATGTATGAAAAATTTGGCGTATATAATCTCATGTTGACATACATGTAACAATGTTTGTAAAAGATTTGTTTCAAATCGATATTGTTCCCTACTATAACTTACGAACTTACCAATAAACAAACCCTGAATCGACTATCAAGGATAATGTGTTCTATGATGATGATTATTATTATTTAGTAACGGTGATGTCTAAAACATTTTGCGTAAACGAAAAATGATTATAGTTGAGTGTCATACAGTTCACCATAATATACAGATGTTTATAACGATGATGTTGATGTATTTCGTCTTTGATGATCACCGTGAATTTGATATTTATTTATAATTTTATAAAGTGATATAGGAATTGTTGAAATGTTGTGTGTTTTCTGTTTTGAATAACCTATCAATATGGTGAACTAGGAGTGATTGATCGAGGAATTCTAATTGTGATTATTCGATTTCGAATATGAATTGACGCGAAATACTAAAATCAGTGACATCTGGATGAATGCCTATTCTTTAGTCAACATGTTTATAGTTCAATTAATGTGAGCAGTTTTGTGGAAGTAAATAATCAACAGAATAGTTTACACACTGTGATACTGAAACAGAACTGAAAATATTCTGACTTCAATATGAATACGTTAAGATAATTAGAACGGAATAGAAAATTACTACAGACTAACTATATATATTTAGTACAAATTGGATTATTTAGATACAACATCACAAATGGACGTTCTACTTGTCTGGATAGCGTGTTTGATAATTTAGAAGTAATTCGAGAGGAAGCACGGAAACAACCAAATTGGCGTTCTGATAGGAACATGATCACAAGAGTCATTAATGATAACATTCTCTACGGTAGTGATGATTATCATGATGATGATGATGATGACAACAGTCACGATGTCCGTGATGATGATGGTGCTGATGATGACAGTCATGATGATAGTCATCATGATGATGGTGATGACGACAGTCATCGTGATGTCTGTGATGATGACGATGATGGTGGTGGTGATGATGATGACGGTGATGATGGTGATGTCCGTGATGACGACGGTGATGATGGTGATGTCTGTGATGACGACGATGATGATGGCAATGTCCATGATGACGACGGTGATGATGATGATGTCTGTGATGACGGCGGTGATGATGGCGACGATGTCCATGATGATGGTGTCTACGGCATCCATAGTGGCTGTGATGGTGGCGGTAATGGCCATGAAGCAATTGTGATTGTGTGGCATTTTCACCGCCAACATCCTCTAATATACTTACATCAGTGTGGTTACTTTCACTCGTGCTATCTGTCGGATCAACTTCTTCACTTCCGTATCCACTGTCAGAATCCTTTGTCACATTGTCATGTTGCAGTGGCTCAGTAACAGTGACGGTCGGTCCTATAACAAAACAAGACTTCGTGTTAGGGAATTATTGATGAATGAAATATGCGGGAGCATAAACCAACAAAACTGACTGTATGCAGATGTTGATCTGTTTTGTTTTTTTGGTGGAACGATATAACGCTGCACTGTTAACTCGTCAGGTGATCATCTGTAAGCACAAACACACGTGTCACTCAGAACTGTCTGTCAACTGCACAGAACACTGTCTCTGTGACGTCGCTTTATTGAACAATAATACACAGATGACTGTGACGAGACACTCAACCATTACATTGCCTCACATAACGTGCATAACAAACAGTGATCCTTGATGAATTGAAGCGTAATAAACGATATATTGAAATTGAGCAACTTTTCGGTCGACACTCATCCTCAGATATCTCAACAACACACTCACTTACCTTCACTTGCTGAAAAGACTGATAAGGCTTCGACCAGTCGGTGTTCGAAGACGAACACACTCAGTAGTAGTATGACGATGAGTTTCATTGCAATTCTGGAAGAGAGAGAGAAATGTTGACCTGTGAGTAGTCAGTATATCTATTCTGATGAGTTCATGTGTATTAGTCAGCGTGAATGTAGCAGAGTAGTAATAGCCTCATGTAAGTTACAGAAATTTCACCAACTTACTCTCCTCACTCTGACTGTTTATCTTCCACTACTCGACAATGTTAGTGGGAGTCGCCAATCGAAGTGTGATTTAACTGCACGTGTATTTATATGACAATGTGGCCGATGGAAAATAGGTTTAGAAAGTCACGTAATAAATCACTCAAATCAATCATGATAATCACTTGTGTCCTAATGACCGATGAATGTTCGTTCATACACCCACTCTGGTCACATATGTTTTCTTCCGATCGTGTGTGAACGTTTCGCTCCCATTGTACTTTGTGGATTATCTAAGATTCTTGAGCATGTGACTCACGATTCCAACTGATCTTTCAGTTTGCGAATATATTGATCACTTTTTCACGTTTTGCCAAATCATTATTAAAAATCAAATTCACGGTGATCATCAAAGACGAAATACATCAACATCTTCGTTATAAACATTTGTATATTATGGTGAACTGTATGACACTCAACTATAATCATTTTTCGTTTGCGCAAAATGTTTTAGACATCACCGTTACTAAATAATAGTAATCATCATCATAGAACACATTATCCTTGATAGTCGATTCAGGCTTTGTTTATTGGTAAGTTCGTAAGTTATAGTAGGGAAAAATATCGTTTTGAAACAGATCCTCTACAAACATTGTTACATGTATGTCATCATGAGAATATATACGCGAACTGAGAAGTCAATGAACACAATGATGTAGATTGCACAACATTGGATAGGACAAAGCAGTTCTATGAGAGAATGATCGAGTTAGTTATATAGCTGGGAAATCAGACATCTAGAGGAAAGTAAACTACGGAGTTATCACTTGTCGAACAGCACTGTGAAGCAATCCATATGTTAGGAAACGATGAAACCTTACTCATACGTAAACGAGATGATATGGGATGGATAATTTTGATGAATAAACACACTGGACTGGTTACATATCATTCATGTAAAACTGACTGACGATCACTAGTACTGTGCAACACACAAAAGAGTGAATCCTATAAAGAAATGATGTTTTACACATTGAATTTCGTTAATGGATTCGAATAAATTAAGAGCGAAAAGTGACAAGGAATCACGTGAACTCGTGATATCTCATTGATACGTATGAGCCACACACAAATTTATTCGCACTGAAGTATAACATGAAACCACACATCCAACAAGAGTGACAATGGATGATAAAAACCACAGGGATAACGATCTTTAAAATCGGTTATCAACACAAACTGAAAAGTCTTTCAACTTGGATATATCGATTATTAGGCTTCAATTCATCAAGTATCACTGTTTGTTTTGCACGTTATGGGAGGCATTCTAGTGGTTAATTGTCTCGGTACAGACATCTGTGTTTTATTGTTCGATAAAACGACGTCACAGAGATAGTGTTCTGTGCAGTTGACAGACAGTTCTGAGTGACACGTGTTCCGAACATTTTCTTGAATTGTGTGTCAGTGCTTACAGATGATCACCTGACGAGTTAAGTGTAGAGCGTTATGTCGTTTCCCCCCAAAAATAAAACAGGTGAACGTTTGCACATTAGATTTTGTGTTACATTCGACGACGTCCAATTCAGATGTTTACGCTCGTTTTAAGCTTGCTCAACTAGTGTTTCGAAAAAGCAATCTATGCAAATTGTGGGATGTCTCATCTAACGAATCCGTGATTAGCTATGTATTTAAATCATATGTGTTTAATTATTTGCTCTTCTGACACACACAAAACCTGTTGGTCCAGACGTTAACTAGGTGTTCAATCGAATTCCATTAATATCGCTTCTCGCATACCAATATCCACCTACTGTTTGATGTCGAGAATCCATGAGAGCACAGGACGTGATACGACCAGACTAACTCAGTCTATCAATATCGACATGTTTGTCTTATTAGGAGTCGAATGTTTGTATAGTAGACAAAATGTCATGTTGGAAAACTATTAGCGAGTACAAACATGATGTGAGTGAGTAAAGAAACTTCATATAAACTAACACCACTGCTCTTTTGTGCATTTATCTGCTATTCTCCCATATTTTTCATGTTTCCTCACAGTTCATGTGTAACCTTTTCTAGTCCACGATTGTAAGTGCTCAATGTTGAATAAACAATGATCGATCACTCCTTAACTGGTTCACAATATAGACTCGATTCGATCTGTGAAGTTGATGAGAGTTGTCTGATTGGTTTAACTTAGTTATAACCGAGAAATCTTTGAAAATGCGTGATTTCTCA